TAAGTAGAGAAAACACTTGCCGCCAACACTGCAGTTTGCAGCAGCTGAGCAGAAATGTTTGCTGTGCTTCTCCTGAACCCAGTGCTCCAATGACACTGACTGATGGTCTTCTAACTGTTTAGAACTTCAAGTCTCCTCTCCCCCGATGCCTCTGAGGATGTTGGAAGCCTTGCTGATGGCCATCCAGGTTCTGTGGACCCCACTTGGGATGACAAGTCAATTCATGCTGAACAAATCCTTATAGAGAAGAGTCGGGATTACGGAAATGTGGCTACAGAGGAGAGACAAGAGAAACAAAATGTGACTCCTGGTGCATCCCCTTCTGAGACTGTAAATATTACACTAGAAAAAGATGACTCAGATGTGGAGACTGATGTTGCAGAAGACCATGAAAAGGACACAGAAGAAACAATTGGTGATGCAACCAATAAAGTTGAAGAAGAGGCCAGCATTCAGGAGCCTCAGACAGAAGTAGGAGATCAAGATGATGTAAAAGAACAAACTACAACTTTGCATACTTTTGAAGAAGGTTCTGAAGCTGAGGAAGAAGAACGTGTTCCTGACGTCACTGAAAATGAGCAAGTGCTAGCTGTTCCTCAAGGGAAATCAGAGCCAGAGGAGGTTGTAAAGTCAGGCCATGAGCCAGAGGTGGTTGAAAAGTCTGGCCATGTGCCAGAGGAAAATCTGGAATCAGCAGAGGAAGAAGATCAGCATTCTGAAACAGAGCTGGAATCAACATCGGAAGAGAAGGAAGAAGAGAGAGAAGAACAAGAATTAGATCTCAAGGATGAGGTACCTGAAGACAAGTCATCAGAAGAGGAAACACATTTACATGAAGAATATGGTGAAAATGGAGATGATTCATCAGATGAACTAGGAAAAGAAGAAGACGCAGAGGTGCAAGCTGAAGGGAGATCATCGGAACAAGAAACTGAAGGGCATGGACCAGATTTTGACAGAGAGGGAGATGAAGAAGGAGAAGAACCTGAGACTGGGGCTGAGGATGACATGACCGAAGAAGAATCTTCAGAGGTAAGTAAAGATGAAGAAGATAAACCAGACTTACCTTCTAAGGATGATACAGCTGAAGAGGAGATTTCAGAACATGAGAAAGAAGTAGAACAAGAAATGGATGATAAAGATGATATAGCTGAAGAAGAGTCGGCAGAAGAAGTGTTAGCATCCAATGATAAAGAAGGCATTCATGCAACAAGCCTATCGGAAGAAGATGATGAAGTACAAGTTGTAAATGTTGATGAGAACATTGCCATCCTAACAGAAACCAAAGAAGAAGAGCCACTGGTTGATGTTGATGAAGACAGCCATACAGAAAATGGTAATGTAGAGAATGTGTCAGCAGAAGACCCAAAACAAGAGGAACTTGTTATATCAGATGCAACTGATAGCACAGAGCAGAGTATAGAATCAACACTCACAGCAGAGGAAGCCCCTGGACAGGAGGACACTGATGAAAACAGCCCTATTGTTGAACCAACATCACAATCACATGCTAAACCATCTCAAAAACAAGCTGTCAGGACAAAGTCAAGAAGACTAAAAGGTAGACATTCCAGATACCTAATTGGGCTTGTAATAAACTAACTATAATGTGCACTGCCTTTTTTTTATACTAGGAAAAAAATAGTTTATCAATATTATTACTCTGTCGTAGCATAAGGCACATGGTGAGGTGGCAGATTTAAACCGGTAAACAAACCCTTTGCATTGTAAATAATCTGGAAACCTGCACTGTAAATATTGTGGACTGCCTATTTAATGTGGAATTCCACCCAAAACGAACGCTATACCTACTCCCAGCCCCATTCTAAGCCTAATCTATCTAACCCCGTGTGTATACACACTTACTGACCACTTTATTAGGTACTCCTGGTCAATTGCTTTGTAACACAAATTGCTAATCAGCCAATCACATGGCAGCAACTCAATGCATTTAGGTATCTAGATGTGATGAAGACGACATCCTGAAGTTCAAACCGAGCATCAGAATGGGGAAGAAAGGGGATTTAGGTGACTTTGAAGGTAGCGTGGTTGTTGGTGCCAGATGGGCTGGTCTGAGTATTTCAAAAACTGCTGATCTACTGGGATTTTCATGCATAACCATCTCTAGGGGAATCGAGACTCATTAGACCAGGCAATGTTTTTCCAATCTTCTATTGTCCAATTTTGGTGAGCCTGTGCGAATTATAGCTTTCCTTTTCTGTTCTTAGTTGACAGGAGTGGCACTCGGTGTGGTCTTCTGCTGCTGTAGCCCATCTGCTTCAAGGTTTGATGTGTTGTGCATTCAGAGATGGTATTCTGCATACCTTGGTTGTAATAAGTGGTTATTGGAGTTAGTGTTGCTTTCCTATCATCTCTGCCCATTCCCCTTTTCTGACCTCTGACATCAACAAGGCATTTTCGTCCACACAACTGCCACTCACTAGATATTTTATCTTTTTCGGACCATTCTCTGTAAACCCTACAGATGGTTGTGTGTGAAAATCCCAGTAGAGCAGCAGTTTTTGAAATACTCAGACAAGCCCATTTGGCACCAACAACCATGACACATTCAAAGTTGCTGAAGTTCAAACCCATTCTGATGCTCGGTTTGAACTTCAGCAAGTCGTCTTTACCACATCTAGATGTCTAAATGCTTTGAGTTGCTGCCGTGTGATTTCCCTTCTGTTCTATAGTGTATAGCTATAAAGAGGGTGACAACATTTCTAAGAGTCACTTAGCCAAGAGACTTTGTGCCACTGCCTTACCTCCTGAAATCTCATTTGGATACATAACCAAACTGTCCACTTAATCCCTCACCATCCCCTGGTCAGGTTACAAATGAGGCATCACCATTGAATTCAATTTGCTGCAAATACAGTACATCATGCTGCAATAGTACAGCTGAATTCCAAGCAAATACCTAAATACACAGATGGCATACATATGTAAGAACCTTCAAAAAAAATTGTATTTCTATCTATTCTGTCCTGTACAGCCAGACCTGATTTTCCTCTGCTGCAGTTAAAGTGGTTATAAACCTCAGACATGAAATATGAACAAAGCATATCCCTCTATAGCAGGGGTCTCCAAACTATGGCCCTCCAGCTGTTGAACTACTACAAGTCCCATCATGTCTCTGCCTCTGGGAGTCTTGCCTGTTGCTGTCAGAGTCTTACAAAGCCTCATGGGACTTGCAGTTCCTCAACACCTGGAGGGCCATAGCTTGGAGACCCCTGCTCTATAGTGTGTACTTGTCTCAGTTAAGAGCACTAAGTGTCATTTCTGTCTGCTGCTTCGTTCCTCTGCTATGAGCATGAGTCACCTCTGACCATTTTTCCTGATAACAAGAGAAAAAATGATGACAGGGGAGGGACCTCCAGTAGACTGACATGTGTGTAAATGGGGGTGTATCTCTTCCCTCCAATCAGCTCTCAGAGCTCTCCTCACTGAGCTCTGCAAAGTGTAATTTCTGCTCTTCTCCCCCTTTTTCTGAATGGCACAGACAGATTTTGCAGAAGCATCTCTCATGTGTTCTAAAAGTGGCACAGAATGTCCTAAATCATTGTACCTGTCAAGAACTTGTACTTGAATTTGGAGCATGCTGCACTACTTGTAGAGTGCAAGACAATTTCACAAAATCTGTCTGAGCCATTTTTCCTCTCTGTACGCCAAAAGAGAGTTGGTCTTAATTAGCTCCACTTTTACATTTGGTACATTCAGTACGACACATAGGGGTTTATTTACTAAAGCTGGAGAGTGCAAAATCTGGATCTCTTCTTCATAGAAACCAATCAGCTTCCAGGTTTTATTGCCAAAGCTTAATTGAACAAGCTGGAGTTAGAAGCTGATTGGCTGCCATGCACAGCTGTACCAGACTCTGAGTACCAGTTTTTGTAAATCTACCCCATAGTAAAAGTGGTACATTTTAGAACTACCTGAATTTGGTGCATGAGTTGCTGTCAGAAGCAAAAGTGTCGTAATTGCTTCATGAATTTAGAGCAATACATTAACAAGAGAAATTAAAGCCAGAAAAGTGCCGCAGCAACTTTTTTGAATTCCCACCATAGTCTTTTATTAGGAATGTTTCTTTAAAATAGAAAAAAAAACCCTTATGTGTCTGCATCTCTCTCCATCCTTCATCTAGAGCAGCTTTTCTCAACCAGGGTGCCCAGGCACCCTGGGGTACCTTGAGGTTTCTTCAGGGGTGCCTTGGCAAAATGTCTAAAAATTGCCCAAAACTTGTATACAAGCCAGCGGGTGGATCAAGCCTGTCTTTTAGTTACACAAAGACACAGGTTTTCATTGAGTACCATTACGTCCTTCTAGCCTCTGGCGTCCTGACAACCAATGACATCAGTTGGTAAGGAGGATGGCAACTGCCTGCACAGCATCCTAGTTTGACCCTCCCTTGTCCTTCTCTGTCAGTGCTGGGGTCACATTTGCTCAGTGATGGAGAAAAACTGAGGGAGAAGAGAAACATTGGAATACTAGTCAGTACCAGTGTGCAAAAGTGTATTTGCTTTGGAAGGAAAAATCACCTCTAATGTTGAGTGTCTTACGTGTGTGGATGTTGCTGTTAGAATAGTTTTTCACATTTTAGAATGGGGTGCCCTTTTAAAATTATGGAGAGTATTTAGGCACCCCATTTTAGAATGAGGTGCCTCGGGAGTGTCCATAATTTTAAGGGGTGCCTCAAAACTGTCCATAAGGTTAAAGGGTGCCTTGACTGAAAGAAGTTTGAGAAACACTGATCTAGAGCAGTCTTTTTCAACCATAGAGCCATAGCACCCTGGAGTGTCTTCTGAGTTCTTCAGGGGTGCCTTGGCACAATGCCTAAAAATTGCCCCAAAGTGAACAAAAATTTCCAAAAAGCCAGTGGATGGATCAAGCCTGCCTTTTACATTTTAGAATGGGGTGTTTTCAGATTTTGCAGATTTTTAAAGGCTGCCTTGACTAAAGGTGGAGAAACACTGATCTATAGGAGGCCAGTCATTTGTCAGATGCAAAATGTTGTCATTCAGGATTTTGATTGGCTAACCTTTTCCTTTTTTTTTACAGATGACTTGGAAGAGCCACAAGAGTTCCTAAATAGGGACAGAAGCCACATAGATAATACCTTGAAACTCGCTGAGGAAAAACCAATAGATGACTACTCAGGTAATTATTATTATACAAGATTTATATAGTGCCAACAGTTTACACAGGAAAATAAGTGCAGACAGTATAATTGCAATCAGAGGCGTCCCTAGGGTTGGTGTGTCACCCGGTGCGGTAACATTTGGTGACACCCCCTCCAATGATCCCCGCAGAATGGATCGGATCCATCCTGCGTGGATCATTGGCTTGCTTTACAACTTACCTTTTCGTGGAGGGGGTCCGGTGTCACCCCGTGCGGTCGGTGTCACCCGATGCGGGCCGTACACCCCGCACCTGCCTCGGGACGCCACTGATTGCAATACAAATGAATACAGGAGGGATCAGAGAGCTTACAACCTAAGAGAATGTGTCAAAAAGTCAAGAGGCAATAAAATAGGTGTCATTACAAAAGCCTGTGCTTGATGGATGAATACATTTCTGCTATAGTAAATCTGCTAGAAATTAAAATGGTGTCCAGGGGCGGACTGACAACTCATGGGGCCCCAGGACAATAGGGGATCATGGGGCCTCTGTGTCCTTGCCCAAACTCAAAAAAGCCTATGAAAAAGGTACCAGGGGCATCTCATGGGGCCCCCTACTGACCCCCCCGGGCAATAGGGGATCATGGGGCCCCTGTGTCCTTGCCCAAACTCAAAAAAGCCTATGAAAAAGGTACCAGGGGCATCTCATGGGGCCCCCTACTGACCCCGGGCCCTCGGGCAGTGCCCGAGTTTCCAAATGGTCAGTCCGCCCCTGATGGTGTCTATACCTTTGGGAGTAATCAGAGCAGTAGGGGGACAATGCTAAATCCAGGCACCAAAAATCTTTTTTTTTTTTTTTTAGAAGATAGGCAGTTAATTTTTAATACTTTTTGCACCTTTATGCCTCTTGATGAAGGACAGAGCCCCACTCACACCATTTGGCGAGCCAGCCACAATATTATATTTTTTATGTTAGCGTATTCTTCACAAGAATTGTTGTCGTAGACCTTAGGGTAACACCAGGCATAATAGCAAAAATATTTGGATGTTCAACGCCCGTGGCAAATTGGGAGTGCACTGTGCGCACTGAACATCGGTGTACAGATAGCTAGGTAGGTTCATGGGTCACAAAGAGCATGAAAGTGAATTTTTGGGTATATTTGCTGATATATTCATGCACGCCATCTACTGTAGTTGCATTTTTTTTGGTTTATCCTTGCTCTTGTTTTATTTTATAAATTATCCAAGTTCAAACTGTTTTTTTTTTTTCTGAGTCTCATTGAATTCTTTCCATGTTTCTCTACAGCGGTCCTACAGAGGCTAAGGAAAATATATCACTCTTCTATAAAACCCTTGGAACTGTCCTACAGATACAATGAACTGAGGCAGTATGAGATTACAGGTAAGCATACTGCACACTGAATGGAACTTACAATAGAAAACCTCAAATATCTGATGCAATGCCAAAGGTTATGAATGGAAAGGCTTAGAGGTAGAAAAAAAATGAAGATTTATTTCCAAGCAGGGGCGGATTGACAACTCATGGGGCCCCCGGGCAATAGGGGATCATGGGGCCCCTGTGTCCTTGCCCAAACTCAAAAAAGCCTATGAAAAAGGTACCAGGGGCATCTCATGGGGCCCCCTACTGACCCCCCGGGCAATAGGGGATCATGGGGCCCCTGTGTCCTTGCCCAAACTCAAAAAAGCCTATGAAAAAGGTACCAGGGGCATCTCATGGGGCCCCCTACTGACCCCGGGCCCTCGGGCAGTGCCCGAGTTTCCAAATGGTCAGTCCGCCCCTGTTTCCAAGTTATAAAAGTAAGGCTAAGTACATACAGGGGACCCCAGATGTCACCATTTATAGTCACTCAAACCCTGCCGCTTTATGTAATCATGCATTATGCCCAAACAATATGGCATTCTGGCCTTGGATTGCACTAACCTTTATACTTTGCATGCCAACAACAGAATGTTAATCAGTTAGCAATACCTAAACTTGAAATATATACTATTTATGCATGCTGGCCCTATGCTCTTAGCATCCAGATAATTTAATTACATGACTAGAGGTCCTTGTGGTGTATATAATCACATAGAAAATGGCACTCTAGAAACAGTGAGACTCACATGATATCAATTGCATTTCACATGCAGATTTGCAGATACTCCATATCTTATCTCCCTATGTATCAAGGAGTGTGGACAAGGTTATATTAAAACATATCTAAACTCAAAAATAAAACATACTGCAGCTTGCCAGTCCCTAAACGTGGTGCTTGCAGTAGTTTTCTTTTTTTTCAGGCTTTTTCACGTTATTTGCATCTGTTACTCCTAAGAATAACAAGCATCCTGTCTGTTAGTGGCTACATTAATTTCTCCATTGTATCTATGGAAGGAACCATAGTTGTCATACAGGCTGAGCTTCAAACAAGTGTGTCCTTCTTCATCCCTGTTACATGGTGAATTTATGGGATTAGTGGTTTACACAAGAAAGACAATAATATTTGTGCTTGATTTAAGGTCACAAAGATACAAAAATTAATTTAGCCATCACATCTTAGGCCCCTTTCACACTGACGGTCTGATTGGGTCCGACTGTCAGATTTTCAGGTGGACTCGACTGGACCATCCATAGCCCTCTATGGATGGTGGGTTTCAGCGGACAAGTGTCCGCTGACACCCATCAGCATCCGATCTGATTCTGTACCTCATCCATCCAGCGAATCGGATGATAGTTGGGTGGAAACAGACAGGCGGTCTGTTTCCATCCGACTGCCCCATAGAAGACAGCGGCCTGTGTCTATGTCTGTTCTGCAGCAGCGGAGCGGACACAGCTCAGAGTGTATCACGAAACGTGTTAAGGAGGAGGCATACGTCGTGACGTCACGCTGCCGGAGCGTCGTGAAAGTCCCTCGGCCATCCTGCTGTTTGGAGGGGCAGTTTTATCAGCATTATAACTGAGACCTGATACATTGTTTTTATCTACTATTTATCTACCTACCCACGTGGATGGCTACATAATCATAATACATTTTGCTATTATTGGAAATTACTACACTATGGGCTACTTCTTTTCTGGCTCTATACCGAGCTAAATAATTTGCAGAGCCTAGTGTGGAAGACACCTGCAGGGTTGCTCAGGATCCAGAGGAGGGAGATTCCTTTCCAGGCTGCATCATCCGTTCCACCTAAAGGGAACCTCTGGCTAAAACACACTTTACACATATGGAAGACAGCTGCAGGGCTGCTTAGGATCCAGAGGAGGGAGATTCCTTTTCCAGGCTTCATCATCCGTTCCACCTAAAGGGGACCTCTGGCTGAAACATACTTTACACATATGGAAGACAGCTGCAGGGCTGCTTAGGATCCAGAGGAGGGAGATTCCTTTTCCGGGCTGCATCATACGTTCCACCTAAAGGGGACCTCTGGCTGAAACACACTTTACACATATGGAAGACAGCTGCAGGGCTGCTTAGGATCCAGAGGAGGGAGATTCCTTTTCCGGGCTTCATCATCCGTTCCACCTTTAAGGGGACCTCTGGCTGAAACATATCTTATACATATATGCGTATTAAAAATACGCATCTGGTGAGTGCGTATTTTTACTATACCCCTGGCACATCACCGAATATCATCACCAAATATCTATCAGCACATTGAATATAATTCATGATCACTTGAATGTAGATCTTCACCCAATGTCACAGATTTATGGACATTTATTTATTTATTCACGTACACAAGGACTATAAGTCACTTTAGCACCTTGATGATATATTTCACTTTATCTTATTAATTTAGCACAATTTTATATGTGTTTACTTGGCTTTTATTACTGTCTCCTCTGGGTAGATTCATCCTCTCAATTAGTGACCATTGTCACTGGAACAGAATGTGATAGGAAATCCAAAAATGTACAATTGTCAGCAGGACAGGAACAGAGTGAACATTCACCCATAGGGAAACCTGTTCTAGCGTCAGCTACTGTAACAAAAAAGGGATTTTCCTTAACTTTTGAAGGATTTAATCTCACGTTCCAGGGGTGTAAAATGCTCCAAAACTGAAAAAAAAACGTTTTGACTTTAGATTAACGTAAATTAATGTTAGGCACCAGATATCTTTTTGATTATATTTTAAGCATATACTCATTATAGCAAAGTGCAATAAGAGACCCAGGAAGCAGCAGAGTATGATATTTCATGTATACCATGGTGTTTTTTTAGTAGAGTAGTCTAAAGGGTTTGGAATTTAAAGTCCTTTCCTGCTCCACTAAACACTGTTAACATTCCATATCTAGACACGCCATGCTCTTTTACAAAGCCTTACTGCATGCAGGTGTCCAGGGCTGCTGAAAAGGCAATACAGCTAGCCCTCCTGTACTGGGCCCCAGCAAGTCAAAAGGAGGGCTGGCTGTACTGCTTTATTGGCGACACCAAGGGTGGACTGACAACTCATGGGGCCCCCGTGCAATAGTGGATCATGGGGCCCCTTTGTCCTTCCCCAAACTCAAAAAAGCCTATGAAAAAGGTACCAGGGGCATCTCATGGGGGGCCCCTACTGACCCCGGGCCCTCGGGCAGTGCCTGAGTTTCCAAATGGTCAGCCCGCCCCTGGGCGACACTTGTGACTTGTGAATCCCACTGCAGTGCTACTAGCTTCTACCTCTCTTTCTCCCTCTGGCTGTGCTGCAGGAGCATTGGTTCTAGAATCTGCGTTTCGTCCGCTCTGTTCACCCCCACCCTCTGCTTTCCAGCCTCCAGTGTGCCCTCATTTCCCCACATTGCTGCCGGCATCCCTTTTCTTTTTCCCCACTGGTAGCTGCTGGGGCACACGGGGTGGGGGGGGGGGGTCCATTTTAGCATGGAAAGCAAGGGGCCAGTAATGAAAGTGGATGTCTCTTACTTTCCTGAATGAACACAGTGAGCAATCAGCACTGATCGCTCCTGTGTTCATTCATCATTGAAGCATTGTATGCTTTGCTTAGTGTGCTTCAGTTTGTGAATGAACAGGAAGCCTCAGAGCGCTTCCTATTCATTCATCTGTGCAGCAGAGAAAGGGACTGATAAATACCTGTCCTCAGTCCCTTTTCTCAGCCTCAAACGTGAGACATTAGGGGGTTTATTTACTAAAGCTGGAGAGTCCAAAATCAGACTCTCTTCTGCATAGAAACCAATCAGCTTCTAACCTCAGCTTGTTCAATGAAGCTTTGGCAATGAAACCTGGAAGCTGATTGGTTTCTATGCAGAAGTGAGTCTGATTTTGGACTCTCCAGCTTTAGTAAATAAACCCCTAGGGGTCTGTTTAGACCCCTGATGTTTCACCAAAGCCCCCCAACAGGGCAGTTAAAACAAATCAATAAATAATACAATTCTAGAAAGAAGTAAGAAAAAATAAAAAAAAAATAAAAAAAATTTAGGACTTGTTCATATGTGCTTTGCTCTCTTAAGAGCAGTCAGCATTTGGAACGGTTTTCAGAGAGCATTTGACAGATGGCGAGGAGGCCCTAGCACACCGCAACCATGTGCTTTGCACACAGTTGCAGGGCACATGTAGAGTGCATTAATCACTTCAATGGGTCTCGTTTGACAAGACTATAATTTCTGCCATGGCTGTGAAGCATAGAATTGTGGCATTTTAGCTGAAATATAATTTGATATTTTTAGAGTGGGGTGGGAGGGTCCTGTCAGGTAGGCTGTACGGGGCCCCGTGATTTTTAAGAGCAGCCCTGCAGGTGTCACAGTCAGGTCAAAAGTGGAATAGTTGGGCGGTATATATATTTCATTCACATGTTTACTTACCACACAGCATATTGGTCTGTCTAATGTAATGGGCCAGGACATTCCCATGAGCACCAGCCAACTCAGCAGCAGCAAACAAAATGGCTTCTAAACAATGTTAGTCTTTCTAATGGTTGTTTTGAGAATTCCTAAACTATAAATCTGTGAATCTGTGAAAGGGTTTACTTTAATTGTGACCCCCACCAGCTCCTTATATGTATCTTCTTTTTGCTCCCATAGCTTAATTTGAAGCAAAAAAAAAATAGTCTTGTGAAAACTCTGAATTGCAACTTCCAACTCTCTCTTTGCTCCATGTGAGAGTGCTGGTAGACTGAATCAGTAAGAACCAGTGCTGTCACATGGGTAAGTAGAAAGACATGCACCCCATACCCAGGAATATTGGGTTTCTCTTGTTGGCTGACCAGAGAAGCAAAGCACAAAGATAACCATGAGCAACTAGTAGGACACCTTTTGAGGGGAACCTGTTGCTTTGTCCAGCATGAGTAAAGCACAGGTTCATTTTTGGCCAGAAAGACAGAAGTTCAGGAGTTAGTGCCTTATGAAGTGGGTCATTTTGGGCAGTTTTTAGGTTTTAAATGGCTTTATCAGACATTCCACCCTTGGGA